TGTTCGACAGGGTTTTCTCCGCTTCTCTGATCGCATCCGGGAGGAGATTCCGTCCTTTTCTAGTCGATGCCGGTGTGGGCTTCCTCAGACACGACTCCTGCCGACTCCGCCCCCCGCGGGTGGCCTGTGGCTTCCCGTCCATTGTCAGAGCCCCTGGGGGAAGACTGGGCTTTGAAAACCATAAACCGTGGTGGAGGCCACCGCCCCCTCCCCCCCCCCAGGGCACGGCTGCCACTGCTCGTCAGCACCACCTCTTAGGTAATGGCTTTTTCCTGTGTGACTGTGTCGAAATCTGTGGTGAACAAATGTTTGGACACAGATTACTGAAATGACGGAAACCGGTGAGCCCCACTCTTTGCAGGGGATTGGGGGGTGTCAGGGAACATGTCTGGGCGCACCCGCAACACGAAGGCAGGCCGCTGAGAAACCCGAGCCTCCTGCTCCCGAAGCGGGGAGCACGGGGCCGGCCCCGACTTTCCTGAGCCCGAGCACATCCCCACACGTGTGTCTGGCTTCAGGGGGAATCCACACGACATACAATCAACCGCTCGAAAGTGCACATTCCAGCGGCGCTTACTGGACTCACATGTTCTCTAGCGTCAACCTTTCTTCACCCCAGAAAAGCAGCCAGAGCCCATTGGGTAACCACCCCCCACTTCCCGGTCCCCCGTCTCCGGGCGCCACCCAGCTCTGTCTCGATGGCATTGCCTGTGCCGGTGGAGCCTGTGAAAGGAGTCGTATCCTGTGTGACCTTGAGTCTGTCTTCATTTTCTTTGCCAGGTGCTTTTGCGGGCCATCCGAGTAGGAGCCCGTGTCAGGACGTGGCTCCTTTTCCGGCTGCCTCTGTTTGGTCTCTCACCCATTGCTAGGCACCTGGGCTGTTGCCACGTTGAGGCCAGAACGCTGCCATGACGACAGTGCGTGTGTCGGCCCGGACGTGCCTTCGCGGACATGCCTTCACGTCTCCGTACTCCCTGGGGTTAGAGCTGCTGGGTCGCGTGGTCGATCTGATTGGAGCCTGGGCAGCTGTGCCGTTTCACGTCCCGCCAGCCCTTCGGGAGGGGTCGGCCTCTCTGTCCGCACCACACTGCTCTTCCCTGTATTTCGGTAACATCCATCCTCATGGGTGTGACCGTAGCTCATGGTGGTTTGATTTGCATTTGTAATCATAATGGTGACTATCTTCTCAGATGCTGGTTGGCCATTTGTATGTCTTCCTTTCTATTTTTTTTTTTTATATTTTATTGATTTTTTACAGTGTTGGCCATTTGCATGTCTTCCTTTCTTAAAAAAAAAAAAAAACATTTTTAAAAATTGATTTCAGAGAGAGGAAAGGAAAGGGAGAGAGAGACAGAAACATTGATGAGAGAGAAGCATCGATCGGCTGCCTCCCGCAGCCCCCACTGGGGATGGAGCCGGCAATCTTCTTGGAGAAATGTGACTCAATTCCTTTGCCCTTAAAAATTGTCATCATTTTTGTTTTTTTCTTTTTGTTAATCCTTACCCGAGGATATTTCCCCTCATTGGTTTTTAGAGAGTGGAAAGGAGGGAGGGAGAGAGAGAGAGAGAGAGGGAGGGAGAGGCATCGATGTGAGAGCGCAACATGGACCTCTGCCTCCTGCTTCGGGCAGCACCCCCCCCCCCTGGGGTGACACCCAGCAGCTGAGCCCCACGGCCGGGGTGCGGTGTATATTTGTAACTGCGCGCCCCCCTTCAAGTAGCACCAGCTTCACAGGTCCTGCAGGAAACATACAGATGCTCCCGGTCCCTCCCTCCCGTCCCTCAGCCTTGGGCCACGGTAACCACCCAGTCCCGCTGCTTTCCTGTAACCTCACAGTCAGTCCTGCTCCCCATTCAGTTCAAAGTAAGAAGTAGAGTAGTTTTACCTCCATTTATTCCTTCTCGGATGCGCTGCTTTGTTGATGGGGATCAGAGTGTACTCTAGCTTATGAATTTCCTCTCTGCCTGATAGACTTCTCTAAGACTTCTTCTTTTTAAAAAAATATACATTTTTATTGATTTCAGAGTGGAAGGGAGAGGGAGAGAGATAGCAACATCAATGAAGAGAATCATTGCGTGGCTGCCTCCTGCACACCCCCTACTGGGAATTGAGCCCACAACCCGGGCATGTGCCCTCGACCGGAATCAAACCGGGGACCCTTCGGTCCGCAGACGGATGCTCTATCCACTGAGCCAAACCTGCCAGGGCTCTAAAACTCTGACCGGGCAAGGCTGCGGACACACCCCCTGGTCTTGTCTGAGAAAATCCCTTTCTCCTTGACTTTCCCGGGACACGGGTACTGGACAGAGAGTTCTGGGCAGGTGGGCTGTTCCTGTCTGTTCAGCATCGTCAGGATTTCTCCTCGCTTCTCGCTCTGTTGTCTCAGAGGTGACATTCGATGCGATTCTTACCTTTCATTTTCTAGAGAGATGGGGTCTGTGGGTTTGTTGGGGGTCAGATGTAAGCTGGCATGGTCCTTGCACCTGAAGGGGCTGCAAGGCTGGGACCCTCACCCACAAAGTTTTCCCAGACTTGTTTGGATGGCGGTTATCAGTAGAATGAGAGCAACCTTTGTAGAATGAGAACAGCCTTTCCTGGCTTACCAAGAAGTCTGTAACTATTTACTGAGATAGGCTGTACTGAGAACTTATCCTTCTGCTGTGTCTCTCCCTTAGAGATTAAGAGGAACAAAGAATACATTCCTCTTGACAGACCTCCTATTCGGTGTGTTGTGTATAAATAGGATTGTGTGGCTAATAAAGTTGCTTCAGTTCTTCGAGAACTGGGGTCCTCCCGACCCCGCTTTCCTGTCTTTCTTTCTTTTCTCAATTCCCACCT